ACTATTCGCAAATTGTACTTGTACTTATAGGAAAAGAGTTCCCCAAATAAACTCCTTCATCCGTTTCCGTTGCTTCTCCACACAGCTTAATGTAGCGCCACAGAAACAGCGATACCTGAAATATATAACGGCTCCATTTCACAGATGCTTCCAAAAATCTACATGAAACTTCGTGTACTATTACTGATCTGAACCTGCTTTTCCATTCATCTTCATACTGAATCCAGTCGGCGACAAGTGTCTAAGACAATTTATCATCTTCAAAATCCGGTTACTTATTGACTGGATGTCAGCTTACCCAAGAATGCAAAAAGTGATGACAGTAAAACATAAGCGCACTGTGGCAGTGTTGGTTTTTCACTTGCAAAAAATGACGAAAATCTGTCCGATTTATTCAGTCTTAATTGCCCTGTTTCTTTTCCGATTAAAACCTGTAAGGATTTAAAAGCTGAAGTACTTTTTTTTAACTCCATGATAAGCTGAATATTGGTGACGTTAAAAAGCTTATTTTGGGTACAAATTAGCTTTCGCCATCAAGAAGTATACAGCTATGGTGGATGATTTTAATGCAAAACCTGAAAGAGATGGAAAAGGAGAAACATTGTAAGGGACGGCGATACCACATAAATCGCCTCACTGCAAATACGGCAACAAAAAACTAAAATAAGGTGTCGGTTTGCTTTACCTGTTTTTAGAAGAAATCAAAGCTTGCTGTTTGTCGAATTCAAAAGCTGCGAACGAAATCGTTTTACGAAGTCGTTGATGCGTCGCGCATTACGCCCGCACAGCTACCTTTTTTCATGAAGACAGCGATTATTGCATATTTTGATTAAAAATACAGAGATATTCGTGCCGTTAAAAAACCAGCACAAAACGCGTTTAAGAAACGTTAAAACAAAAAAAAAAAACAAGAAAATGAAAAATAAAAAAACGGAAAAATACAAGTACTCTGTAGAAGCAGCTTTCGGCAAGATGCGCAGTTAAGGCTTTATGATATACAACGTATTTGTTTACTGTAAGCATCGAAGCCAAAGATAGGGGCCTGCAAGGAACTCTCCGTGTTACTCAGTTTGAACAAGATATGCATGAAATTTGTGTATCTTAGCGCCATAAGAACGTGTCTAGGAGTAATAACTTACAAAACAAACCGATGATCATAAGTGCACTTGAAGAAGTTTTGCGGAAGAAAAACAAAACAATAATGTGATTTAATAAAAAGGATGAAGAACTTCGAATGCTCTAATTCGCGGATGATGTGTTGCTCACAGCACAACGCAAACACTGCAGGGCTAGCCAACTAAATTGAACATTAATTTGGCGCTCCCGCACTCGGAATTCATAGCGAAAAAAGAAACTGGACCAGGAATAAGGCTACTAGGATTCTTTCGCATGCCGGGTGCAACTATGTTAGGCCTTTTCGATCTTAGATTGGCTTATTTCAGTTAACACCTGTTTCCGACTGAGTATATTTGCACCATCTCTTCAAAGGTTCACTGAGTGGCGTTTTAATTTCTCGCAAGTACCAAACACTAGTGTGCAAAGCCTACTGGTTGTGGGCAAGATTAGCAACCTACCCTGCCTAACGATTTCACTCACAGTGAAATCCTGCGTGCCGCTGTTCTGTCTCAGAGACAAACTGTTTGTATGTTTATTCACGGTAAACTCCGCTTCAAGCATGTAAATCTGCATATGTACAGAGGACAAAGCCACTTTCTTCAGCTTGTCTCCTCGATTCTCATTCCCAAAGACTTGCACAGTTACTTCTTTCTCATAGCTTTTCCTCCTTTATGGATCCACGAGATATGGGGAACTTTAGCTTGGAACACTACTGTCGCTTAATTAATTCGGCAGTCAAACTGAGCAGGAAGCAGTATTTTTCTGACGATGTTTACTGTTCATGTACAAGCCAGCAAGCGCAGAATAAGTTTTAGGCATACACCCTACGCGCAGACACATCGAATGTTCAAAATGCAACACCGTATTCATCATTTTCTCCCGCCAGTCAGATTGGCCATTTCGTGTTTCAAAGTTTCAGATCACACTACACACACTGGTTACGCTTTTTCACGTTATAAATGTTCGAAACAATAACACGAGCCAGATTTAAAGCCTACACCAGGCGATCTTCCTATACAGAAAGAAATCACGTAAAAACGTTTGATCGCAGTTGCAAGCTTATTTGGATTTGTAATCTAAACGCTGCAACGGCTAAATAGTTACTCATCGGGCAAGCGTATACCGGAGTCCATGAAGACGGTGCTTTGATTGACCAGGCCCTTGAAAATGTCGAAATCTCATATTACAACCATTATATGGGAGTGAAAGCCTGACTTGTTTTGCGTGTGTTCACTGATCAAGGAACGAGTAGAACTCGGAAGCTAGTTTTAAGTCACTTCACCCGCCTCTTGTGGTAAACTTCAAAACTTACAGACAGCTAGCTTCCCTGCACCGCAATCGTGAAACCCAACTCTGGGCTTGAGATCCGATTGTGGTAAATGGTAAGAAATTTATACGACTTAATGGACCGAAACATTTTCTGCCATTAAAATAATTTTATTAATTTACAGATTTTGTAATTCTCATCTCCTACCTCTCTCTTTGTTCCCCTTTCATCCGTTTTTAATATACCTTCCTATTATAGTTTAGAGTTTGAGAATAACCACTTTATGAAGCGGTAGCCCATCCATTTAGTCCACATGCTTCTGTATTACACACATAGAATTGGTGCACGAAACCTACAGGTTCCTAGGATTTAAATTTGCGTTCTACCGTATGCCCATTCGGAATAATCCTAGCGAGTGCACGGCGTTGCGTTGCATGCACGCTGCGCAGCAAGTGATCAACTTTTAGTTTGTATGATTTCGTACTTTCCTTTTGTGGGGGGTTGATTTTCGTATGCTTGCACGTGTGACTGCAACATAAGCAGATCTAGGAC